GACTTCTTCCCACGTGACCTCGGCGTTGTCCCAGCCCAGACCGTTGAGAACTTGACCTTTGTTGTTCTGCAGGTCGAAATGAGCCTCGTAGCCGTGGTCGTTGACTCTGTCTGAGGAAGTTCAAGGATGCGTCACGTTGGGTGAAATGTATTCATTTACTTATTGGTTTAATCTAGGTGTTTTTACACCCACATGGGCAGAATCAAGGCTTTAAAAGTAGAAGTAATTTTGATAGAAAAAAAAATCCACAGACAGGAGAAAGAGACTAAAACAGCACCAAGACATGGATGGCTGGTGCATGTATAAACAAATTGTTGGTTGTCAGGTCAGTGCATAATCGAGGTAATTTGGGAAGCAGGCTCCAGCACAGTCGAGAAGGACAGAACATCCTAGCAGCATTACTGAGATAGTCGGAACAAAAAAATCCTTCCCACACAGAAATCGAACTCTGGTCTCCTGTGTGCGATAGCAAAACGCTTAACTGCTATACCAAAGACGCCGGTGTGAGTGTGAGATGGACCAGAACGTGTGAGATTATGATAATACGAGTAGATAGCATTTGTAAAGCGCAAATCCCCGCTCAACAACAAGCTCTATGCGTGGGTGGTTGGCGGGTGCTCTGGTGTGGTTTGCTTCTACGTTCCTATGAAACATCTATCATCCTTATCTCCCCTTCTTCTTTTTTATGTTTGTTACTTTCTTGTAACACCTCTAATCTTCTGGCGCCCATATGACCTTATGCAGTTGCGAGTGCCGTAAAACCTCTACTAAAACTAAACTAAAGCTCTATGCGCTTCACAATCTATACCACATGTATTACCCCAGCAGACCTGAGAGCATTCTGAAACAACCTCAACTTTCTGGGAAGCATACAGTGTAAGCAGCCGTTTACAGGTGCTAAGACACCAACATACTGACAAGATTTTTCGCTGTCTTTGGCCGGGTACCCATTCCCACTTGGTTGAAGTGAGGAAAATTCGTGTAAAGTGCCTTTCTCAAGGACACAACGTCGGGTCCGCGGCTTGAACCGGTAGCCTAAGCCCTCCGGGTTAGATGAGATACAAACGATGTAAGATTAGAATTAGATACCACATGGGCTGTGTGAGATGATTGGGGATAAGGCGAGGGGGGAAATGAGATAAAAACGGGTTGAGTTCAGATTTGCTCTTTCTTCAATAGAAGTGGATATAATATTTTGGATTGAAGGAGGTGGGGATGACCTGGTTTCACCGGTAAAATTAGTGAGAAAATAACCGCCAAAGCTTGGAAATTTCCAAGCCGGAGATTTCGTGGAAACTGTAAATATACATTTGTGTGCCTTTAAGCAACGTTTTCGGTAAAAATCTTCACAGGAATTTGTTTCTAAATGAACCAAAATGGTGTTAAGCCAAAAATGTAAAAATTTTGATAAAAATTGCCACGCGAGAAGAAAAAATTCTGTTTTCTTCGATTTCATTATATTGATGAGCGCCTGATTTCACCACGATGCCACACATTATGTGCATACATTTATTATCTATCTGCTTTTTGTGTATCTAGATCTAGATCTATTTAATTTGCTATCTCTCAGTCTGCCCCTACATTACTTTTTCTTTCCAGATTTTAATGCTGATAAGCAAAAGTAGCACAGTTCGTGAACTGTGTGTGACCTTTGTGTACTTACTTGTTCCAGGCTTTCCGCTCTGGCCACACCAAACTCTGTTCTCGTTGATTGGACAGCTGTTGGTCACCATGAAGACTACGGGGGTTCTGTGCTTGGGGGCTTTGCCGTTGCCAGGAACGAATCCACCTAAAGAAATGACAAGTACGATTTAGAAATAATATTCTGTCGCTTCACTTGATCGCTTGCATGGGGGTGAACAGGGTCTACATGTTGATATTAATTTGTGAGGGTT